ATCAATCAGATAGTCAACCAACTGAATTACAAGGACGACAAAATATATGGATTCTTATTGTTGTCCCTTCTTGTAGTGTATAACAATCTTTGTTCAGTGTAATGGCATCACATTTATTTCTTCCATTCTGTTGACTTAACAACACTATGTTCAGCAGCCAACTTTGACTATAACAATAATTTCTCATTTTATTTTACTAAAATTTGAAAGCAACATAAAGTTGGGTTTCAATCATCAAGAGCGTTGACAATTCATTCAAGTTGCAAATCCTCATAATTCCATTAATTTCGATTTTTCAATTTGTAGCAACACCGATAGTTAGACTCTGTTGAAGATTTTGAATCACGATCTTGCTCTTCCAAGATATCAAGCAATCTCCTAGAAGCATGGTGAGTATTAGGACAACCAACCCAATCAGAATCACTAAACACATTAAGCCGAATAAGAGTAGACATAATCCACCGTGTTCCATTCATGTTAATGTTAGTATATATAAGCAATATCAGTGAATTCAGGCCATAAGTCGTGTTTTTGAATAGCGAAAATCATAAACACAATGACGCGAAAAAATAGCTAGAAGAACTAAGACCGAAAACCCTAAACATTCAGGATTGACCGTTGAATAGCGAAAATCATAAACAGCTTAGATTGCATTCGAATGGAGTTATCGTTATTCACAATTTGCAGTGAGTAATATTTTAAGATTGAAGTTTCACAATTGGCTTTGTTGAGAAAGCAATGATTCCTATCCTCTTCTTCATTTATCTCTTCTTCGGGGAATGTAAGTGCTGGAGTTTCCACTTTGTGGATCAATACAGGCCGTCTCTTATGGATACGATCAGCGGTGACATTCTGACATCCATCCTGGAAGGAAATGGCAACCCGCAATTCTTCTTTGACTTCTCTTGCAAAAATGATGCCACGGAATGCTTTCTTGGCATCTCCTAAGTATTATACAACACTTCCACTATGGGCGTTCCTAACAGGGATATAGTTGACAAACAGTTAGTTTGGTCTGCTAATCGAGACAAACAGTTAGTTTGGAAAAAGATAGCACATTGAAGAAGTTTGTTTGAGTCCCCTCTCTGTATTGACTTGGACTTTGGAATTGATGGCACATCCCATTCAGTATAAGACTTCATGACCTGAATCTGAATGAGGAGGTAAGTGCCCAATAATTCCAAATTAATTGTTTGTGTAAACTTTTAACTACTTAATAGACTTTCCATAATTTCTAAAATATATTGAGTTCAGTGGTAAAAACTTAAAATTTGAACCAAACAAATTAAAATGAGGATTTGGAAAATGATTGCACCTTAATTACACAGTTGCTGGAAAGAGTGTTACAACTTACAAGTCAACAGAAGTTTGGAAAATGACAGCACAGAAGCTTTTGTGTTGTGATGCCTCTCGACGAATTGAATGTGCTAAGATAGGATAAAGAGAAACCCAACATAACCAAATTATATTATCATACATAATACATAGCCTGACATGGTAATTAATGGATCATTGGATATCTCATGAAAAACAAGAAAATGGCCTTTTCCGATAGCATAACACAATAAAGCTTACTGAATACTACCATTTGAATTCAGTAGCTGCACCACCACATACAATATTATACTTATTTTCACACATGAATTGAGAAGCCTCTACATGAAGCTCAAAAATTTAACATAGAAGTTACTAAACATTACATTTCATGAATTATAATCTCATACACCATAAAAAAGTTATGCTAGAATTGAAAATGTTGCAATATTTGACATTAAGCAACCATATTTGGTTCTTTCAAATCCAAAATCTTAAGCATATTGTTTACCTTGGTCCCGATAAAATTAAAGGAAATTTTGAACTGATAATGACTTCCCTCTGTTGGTTGCCTGCCCCAACCTCTGGTACATGTGTGAAATCATAATTCAAGTTTGTTTCAACAGTCACCAAACCTTCCAATGCCTTAACCACCAATGACATGGAAGGCCTCTTGGAAAAATCGCCCTGTAGACACCATGCAGCAAGGCTCATCATTTCTGTCACTGCTTTCCTGTGGAGCTGCATATCTTCATTGTTTTTGTCAACCATATCTATGAGCTGCTCTTGTTCCGCTTTTCGCCTAAAGACACTTAGCAAATGGACATCTTCTTCATCAGCTTGGGACCAATCCAAATTCTTTCGCCCACAGAGAATTTCCAAGAGCACAATTCCAAAAGCATACACATCAACTTTCTCAGTAATTACTGAGCTTAACCATTCAGGGGCTAAATAACCCCGTGTTCCTCTCATTCTTGTCACAACTTTGCTTTTGTCTTTCTCAATTAGCTTCGACAACCCAAAATCTGATATCTTAGCATTGAAATACTGATCTAGAAGGATGTTTTGCGGTTTGATGTCCAAATGAATTATCTTATGGCTACAATCCTCATGTAGATACGCTAACCCTTTGGCGATATCTGATATTATCCTCTGCCTTGTGTTCCATGTAAGCCCATTTTCTTGATTTTCATGCGTAATCCACCTATCCAGCGATCCATTCACCATGAACTCGTAGATTAGAAGTCTGTGGCTTTTTTCGGCACAAAATCCAATGAGTTTTACCAGATTGATATGGTGAATGCCACCGACTGCCTTTACTTCTGTTAAGAATGATTCCTTAACTTGACCTACACCATCCAGATGCTTCACAGCTACTTTAGTGCCATTTCTCAGTCTTCCTTCATAAACACAGCCAAATCCTCCTTCCCCGAGCTTTCTACTGAAATCATCTGTAATTATTTTCAGCTCATTGTAAGAGAATCGAGTTAGGATTCCCGGTAAGATTGGTGCTAGATCCAAAATATCCGCAGCCTTTCTGGACTCATGTGTCCTTTTTCTGAAAATAACAAAGCAAGTAGCTATGCTTAAAATTATCCCAAAGAAAGCTGCAAGAGTAGATCCTATTATCACTTTCAAAGGTCTTGATTTCTTTCCTCCAGGAATAATTAGAGACTGAGTCTGCGCCCTTGAGGTATTCTGCACCTTAAGAAATACTGTCTCGCCTCTTCCTTCTTCGCTGTCTGTGAGAGAGAAAACTTCATTCAGTAACAAACAGTTCCCTCTTTGAGCCCCTTCCCAATCATATACAAAAACAGCAGCTTTGCAAGAACAGTTTCTCAGACAAGCCCTTTTGCAATCTTCCAACTTTTTCCCCTCAAGCCAAAATATCTTCGAACTTAGTTCAAGATTGAGCTGAAATACAAAATATGTAGTATTCTTGAGCTCTACAAAACTATGATAATGCGAGGAGTTGCAGTAAATGGAAGTCAGCTGTGAACATCCAAGATCTGGTTTCCTCTCAGAAAATGGTCTGAAGAAGTTCTCGTGTGGCGGACAAGTACATTGCCCGTTATTTGTACAAATGCTATAACTTCCACATACCATTGGGTACCCACAGTTATCCACATATGGCGACAAAATGTCAGATACTTCGTTCCAATCAACTACAGACCATTTGTATACCTTTAAATGTCCATCAGGCCCAATCTTCATGAATTGAGCTTTTGATTTAGTAGGATAGTGTAAAGCAGTAAAGCTTTGGCCATCAAAACTGTAATAAGAACTATCAGCATAGGATGAAGTGTAGTAGTATTGAGGCGGAACAGTATCCGTGTAAGCAGCCCAGCTTCCATTGAGAACACTAAGAGCAAGCAAACCTTGACTATGATTGGTTGCTGAAACGCTTGCTATGAGCTTCCGTCCGGAAACCAAATTCTGCCCTGGAAGCAAAGAATCCGTAGGATGATCAAAAGACTGCCAAATTGCGCGCTTTCTCTTATCAAAGAGCACAAGATTTCCCATTTCTGTTAAGTTTAAGCCAGAAACAGATTTTCCAGTAGTATTAGTGGACCAAACAAGAGTGCCATCAGAGTCCGTCAAGACCAAGTTGCCATCATGGCCTAGTTGCAAGGTTGCATTGACTTTCACTGGATGGTTCCTGTTAGCAGACCAAACTAACTGGGGTTTATCTATCATACCGTTCTCCTCGTTGTATTTGTTGTGGTACAAAAGGATACCAAGAAGGCATTCTGTGGTATTGTACCTGCAGTAGAATCCACAGATGAATCGTGGGCCAGCATTTCCCCGCTGAAGTATGGGTGTTGTTGAACCAAAGAAGCCATCGGTGGTGGAATTAACAATAAGAGATGGCCTGTTTATCCAGAAAGAGGAAAGCCCGGCAAGCCCTGCTGTAGAATTTGAAAGACTGATCTTGTTGTCCTGTAAAGATTGTGATATAGTAAATCGAGACGAACAAAAGAGAAGGTAAATGAAGAGAAGGATAGGAAAATACAGTCTCTTTTCTGCAAACATTGTTGTCTTAAATATATGAATTCTATAGACTTAGCATAAATCAGTTTTATATTAAATAGGTTCTCTTTTTCAATCTTTGCTTAGTAGAAAGGCATCACATTTAGTTTCTTCCACTCTGTTGACTTCCAACACTATTTTCAGCAGCCAACTTTGACTATATAACATACAATGATTTCTCATTTTATTTTACTAAAATTTGAAAGCAGCATGAAGTTGGCTTTCAATTATCAAGATCGTTGACAAATCATTCAAGTCGAAAATCCTCATAAATTCCATTAGTTTGGTTTTTCTCAATTTGTGGCAACAACTAAATTGATACCACTCGTTTCTAAATTCAGTTTTTTTTTTCTTCTTTTCATTTCTGTGCTGAACAAGTCAGCTGCTGGAAGAGTGCATAAGTCAACAAAAATTAAGAAGATAAAACATATTAAAAAAAGTTTCTGTGAGGCCCTTCCCCATATTGACCAAAAGACAAATGTTGGATTTGCTAATGATGCCTTCAACTTTCCTTTTTGAATTAGGGACTTCAACTTGTAGTGTTTGGAAAATAATATCACGCGGCAAAGATTAGAAATAGAGACTTGGTATGTTTTTCTCATTCAACTGTTCACAACAAGAAGGTCATATCCCAAAAAAGGTATAGTAATAGAGGGAGTATCAATTACCTAACTACTCCAAATACCATATAATTTTCTAACAAAGATATGATTGCAGAGCAGAGAGTGTATCTTCCTATCCTTCTCTTCATTTGTCTCCACTCCTTTTCATCCCGGTTTGCTTTCTCGCAACTTTTCTGGAACTATAATGTTAGTGTTTTGAATTCTACTACTGGACTTTCCAATTCTTGGATCAATTTGCCATATGTTAGAGTTTACAATACCTCCGAGCCTTCTGAAATGACGCCTATTATTCGGAGCAGAAAGGATAGCCCTCAGTTTCTCTTTGCCTTCTATTGCCCCCTTCTAACTAACGGTACCACAGAATGCCTTCTTGGTATCCTTTTGTATCACAACAGATTCAACGGGGTTTCAAGTGTTCCCCAGTTAGTTTGGTCTGCTAACAGGAACCATCCAGTGAAAGTCAATGCAACGTTGCAACTAGGCCAAAATGGCAACTTGGTCTTGACAGACTCTGATGGCACTCTTGTTTGGTCCACTAATACTACTGGAAAATCTGTTTCTGGCTTAAACATGACAGAAATGGGAAATCTTGTGCTCTTTGATAAGAGAAAACAAGCAATTTGGCAGTCTTTTGATCATCCAACAGATTGTTTGCTTCCGGGGCAGAAGTTGGTTTCTGGTAGGAAGCTGATAGCAAGCATTTCAGGATCCAATCAGTCCTTTTCTTTTACTGTTCTTAATGGACGCCTGGTGTCTTCCATAGATACCAACCCACCTCAGTATTATATCGCTTCAAGTGGGGATTATAGTCCTCTTTACGATTTTGACGGTCGAACCTTTACTGCTCTACAAGACCCTGATACATCCCAATTCATAAAGCTTGGGCCTGATGGACATTTAAGGTTATACCAGTCGGATGCATTTGATTGGAAACAGTTAGATGAGGTCATGAATTCATATCTGGGGAACTGTGGGTACCCAATGGCGTGTGGAAGATATAGCATTTGTACAAATGATGGGCAATGTAATTGTCCGGTAGAAGGAAACTTCTTCAGGCCAATAAATAGGAACCCGGATCTCGGGTGTTCACAGCTAACATCTATTTCTTGCAACTCTTCACATTATCATAGTCTTATAGAGCTCAGCGACACCACATATTTTGCATTTGAGATCAACTTTTATGCAAGTTCAAACATGTGGTTTGAGGGAACAAAGATGGAAAATTGCAAAGCGGCCTGTTTGAGTAACTGTTCCTGCAAAGCTGCTGTTTGGTCTAAAACTCTAAGGAAAAACTGCTTATTACTGAATGAAGTATTATCTCTTAAGGACAACTGGTCTGGTAGTGACAAGACAAAAGTTTTTCTCAAGGTGCAGAATTTCGCAAAGTCTCAGTATCAGCCGCCAATCGTTTCTCAAAGAAAGCAATCAAGACCTCTGAAAGTGATTGTAGCATCTGCTCTTGCTGCTTTAGTGGGAATAATTTTAAGTATTAGTGCATGGTTTGTTCTTTTCAAAAAGAGGACACTGTCTGTCAAGGCTGGGGATTTTCTGGATTTAGCACCAATCTTACCGGGAATCCTAACTCGATTCTCTTACAATGAGTTGAAAATAATTACACAAGATTTCAGCAGAAAGCTCGGGGAAGGAGGATTTGGCTCAGTATATGAAGGAACACTGAGTAATGGCAACAAAATAGCTGTGAAGCGTCTGAATGGTTTAGGTCAAGTAAAGGATTCATTCTTAACAGAGGTAAAGATAGTTGGTAGCATTCACCATGTCAATTTGGTAAAACTCATTGGCTTTTGTGCTGAAAAAGATCACTGGGTTCTGATCTATGAGTACATGGTAAATGGATCATTGGATAGGTGGATTTCTCATGAAAAGCAAGAAAATGGGCTTACATGGCTTACGAGGCAAAGGATAATATCAGATATTGCAAAAGGATTAGCGTATCTTCATGATGAATGCAATCATAAGATAATTCATTTGGACATCAAACCACACAACATCCTCTTAGATCAAAATTTCAATGCTAAGATATCTGATTTTGGGTTGTCGAAACTAATTGAGAAAGACAAAAGCAAAGTTGTTACTAGAATGAGAGGAACACCAGGGTATTTAGCTCCTGAATGGTTGAGGTCTGTAATAACCGAGAAAGTAGATGTATATGCCTTTGGAATTGTGCTCTTGGAAGTTCTTTGTGGGCGAAAGAATTTGGATTGGTCGCAGGCTGACAAAGATAATGTCCATTTGCTTAGTGTCTTTAAGAGAAAAGCAGAACAAGATCAGCTCATTGATATGGTTGACAAAAACAACGAGGATATGCAGATCCACAGGGAAGCTGTGATGAAAATGATGAGCCTCGCAGCATGGTGTGTGCAAGGTGATTTCAACAAGAGGCCTTCCATGTCATTGGTGGTTAAGGTACTGGAAGGTTTGGTGTCTGTTGAAACCAACTTGGATTTCAATTTCACAAACCTAACTGAGGCTGGGGCAGGCAACCAACAGATGGAAGTCCCTATCAGTTCAATACTGCCTTCAGTTTTATCTGGACCAAGGTAAACAATATGCTTGAGAATTATGACAATATTTCCAATTCTAGTGTAACTTCATAAATGTAATATTCAGTAACTTTGCATTAGTTTTTTGAGCTTCATGTACTATCTTGTAACTTTTACTGTTTTTTTTAAAGCTCTATCTTATATTTTTCTGTTCAATCAGTTTAGTATGATTTTATTTCTTTCGTTCCCACTTTTAGTAAGACTAGTTTCTGGACACGTGCAAAGCACGTGTGCTTCATGTGAATTTTTATCGATAAGTTAGAACAACTAAAATTTCATGGAAATATATATGTAATGAGTAATAAAATGCAACAATTACAAAATAAGAATATAGACTTATGGCAATAAAACATTCATAGAAAACTAATTTAAGAAGTCTAATAGAGAAAAAACACACACAAAAAAAAAGAGAAAGAAAAAAATACAGTGTATACATTATTCTTATAAGACTTTGATGTATAGATGAAAAAATAAGTACATAATTAGTACATGATTCTGTGAGTTCTTATCGACTCCTTCTCCCATTTCTAAGTTGCTTTCTAGATTATAATTATGTTTCTAAGTTGAACAAATTCATATGCATTTGAGCTTATTCCATGCGTAAGAAAACTTTTGGCATTGATCATTTCTTTCCCTCTTGCCATCAATTCTCATACAGAAGACGCACTCCCAAACCTTTGACAACTGCATCCGTATGAATGTTATCAGTACAGACGCCAAGCTCAAGCTGAATGAAGTCATTAAAAATGTAATTATCACCCTTAAACTTCCTATACGGATGAAGTGGGGAATGGGCTAGGAAAGTATTACCTAAACCAACAGGTTTTTCACTTCCTATTGAGCCTAAACACGTGCTAAATTTGCGTGAAAAACCGTCATGGTTTGTGAACCTAAACCACATCGCAAGTCCTTGGAAAGTTTTTAGGCATTTGACATTATGAAAACTGAAGGGATCATCCGACTTAAGTTTCCGTAAAATGAAAGGAGTCATCATGTCAAAAACAACACAAATAACCATACCCCTGCATGTGGGTGTGTACCAATTTCCGACTTAAATTTCTTTCCTCTTGCCATCAAGAACAAGCCTCCGTCTTGCCTAAGTTGCAAGGTTGCATTAGCTCTAACTGAATTGTTCCGATTTGCTGACCATACTATTCTCGGGTAAGATTAATAAAAATAGTAGATATTTGGAGATAAAAGGATACCAAAAACGCAAGCAGTGCCAGCGTAATCACATAAAAAACCACAGACAAACAGTCTCGTTCCCTTCTCTAAAGAGGATGGGTGTCAGTGTGGCTCCATATGTGGAATTCACTACATAGGAGCGGCTATTGATTCAGGAAATGGAGGAATTGGTACTAAAAGCTTCAGGAGGTTAACAACTTATCAGATGCTGTGAAGAAAGGATGAGGAGACTGAGCATGAAAATAGTGGCACTATAATTAACAACCATTGGACAGTTGCATTTGAAGAAAATACTAACAAACCAAATTCCAAAGTGATAGTTGTAAATGTAATTTTGCTCCAAAAATTACTTTCTTTTTAGCTTCTTCTTTTTCCAAATAAATTCATACCATCAGTTCATTTTTAGTATTGCGCAAGTCCATATAAGTAAATCACCAGTTCATTTCCCAGTCAATGTGAGACTTTAACTCACTCTAACACCCCCATCATGCTCAGACTCTCTGATACTATAACAATTAAAAAGCTATGACATTGGATTTGTTGTTGTTGCTGCTGTATACCCATAATTATCACTTCTGAGAAACTTCATTTTGTTGATTTCCAGCACCTTAATATTGACTTAGGGCCTAAAACCAAACCCCAGTAAAGGTGACAAGAATCAGATTATTTGAATAAAAATTACGGAGGCGAAAATACTTTATTAGCTTCTGACTATGTTCATGGCCAAATTTGAGAATAAAATCTCTAAATTTAAAAAATAAGTGCTAGGAATCCTAATTAATCTTAGTAATCAAAAACACTTTCCTTCCTACCGAACAGACGAACACACCCATAGTCAATTAAAGTATGGAAAAAAATGAATTTTTTCTGAGGCCCCTCTGTGTATTGACTGGGCAAAGATTAAAATATTATGTAGAGTGGAACAACAGTTGACTTGGACTTTGGAATTTATGGCACGTCCCATTCAGTACAAGACTTGACCTAAATCTTAATGAGGAGGAAAGTGCCCAATATTTCCAAATTAATTGTTAGTAACAATTTGTAACAGTACTTGGGATCTGATCTCTTTTTAAAAAAAAATAAAAAATTGGTTAACATAAGATTAACTAAAGGTGGCTAAGATCCAAGAACAAGTTCATCTGGTTTGTGTAAACTTTTAACTACTTAATAGACTTCCCATAATTTCAAAAGTATAATGAGTTCAGTGGTAAAAACTTAAAATTAAAATGTGGATTTGGAAAATGATTGCTGGAAAGAGTGTTACAAATCAACAGAAGTTTGAAAAATGACAGACCAGAAGCTTTGTGTTGTGATGCTTTCCGACGTATTGGATGTGCTAACCAAATTATATCATCATAGATAATACACAGCAAGAAGGTACATAACCAAAAATGGCGAAGTTGCAGCCTGTTAAGAAGTCTCACATCGATAGAGGGATGGGAAATTGGTCTCATCACTTGGACAAACCTCCCCTCATGAATTAGCTTTTGGGGTTGAGTTAGGCCTAGGTGCCATATCTTTACATGGTACACTACAACAAATATGATATATAGCTACGAAATTATTAGCTACGACATAAAATTCGTCATTAATTATTCACTTTTAGTGGCAAAAATTACTTTTCGTGCTTAAATATACAAGACAGATACTTTTGGTGACGAAACATAATAGTTCGTAGCAAAGTTTTGTCCACTAAAGTTTCCCACCAAAAAATGTATTGGCGCCATTTATTGAGTACTGTCAATCACGAATTTAAAGTTACCAGTGACACATTATATCGTCACTAATGATGTTTTTAATTTGTGACAAATTATTTTTGTCTTAAAATTAATTAATTTTTAGACACAAAATAATTTCGTCTCAAAAAATATGTTGATACAATAGTGACAAATTAGAATTTGCAGTTAAATATTCTTAGTTTTAGCTATAAAAATTTAGATTTTATTGTAACATTTATTTTCATCACTAAAAATATAATTAATTGGTGACAATTATTTTATTGTCTCTAATCAACCTACGATTTAGTGACAACAAAAAATTGTCACAAAATATGTATGATATTAAATAGCGATGACTTAGAATTTGTAGTTGAATAATTCAACTATTTACTACAAAAATATTCATTTTGGGTACGATTGTTTATAATTAGAGAATTTCATAAATGGTCCATCAACTATTAAAGTATGTCTAAAATAGTCCTATAACTATACATTTATCATATTTAGTCCTTTTAACTATTCAAAATATTATCATGTTTGGTCTCTTAATTATATATACTTACCATTTTTAGTCTCTTGACTATGCATTTACTAGTTTTAGTCCTTTAAGTATTCAAAAATTTATCATGTTTGGTTTCTTGACTATTTTTATACAAATAGAACTCATGTCTATGTGAAATTATATCTTTATCCCATTTTTTAGTTATTTCTCTTTCCCACTGCTTTTTCTTCAAATTACTCTGAAAAAAAGAACCTTACCTCAATGATTCAAAACAAAATTCATGGTAAAAGAAGATACAAGTCCTGATTTTTATTCAATGGAGGATGAAATCAAATATATTATTCATACTAATGAATTGAGAGAATGCTAAAATTTATTATAAAAAGAAAAATGTTATTACTGGTTAGTTGTAGAAAGAAATTTATTTATATTTAATAGAAATGAATTTCCTGCAATTAGAATAAAATAAAATAAAAATTACTCGTATATTTTGATTCCAAATTTTGTACTCCAACGACTTTATTAACGGGAATTTATTTAATATCTTAGAAGCTGAAATTTATAAAATGGTAGATTTTCCACCATTTTAAAGATTTTTTAATTTTGAAATATATCAATTTTATTATTCTGTTCATTTGATTTTTCGTAGAGAAATTGAATAATGATATCAAATATTTTATTTATTTTATATGAAAAAAAGAAAAAACAAATTCACGCTGATTATGAACCGTTAACCACTAAAGAAGAGAACATTTTATTTTTTGTTGGTAACTGTACAGACTAACTCGATCTATTTGCTTCTGTCTAAAAATACATACATAATTAGTAGTAGATCTTTTTACATAGAGCAACTCTATAGAGATAATATCGACTTACAAACTTAGACTGCAAAGATGCAAAATATTTCATGGGTTCTATTACCTTTTTCATCTGTGTGGAAATTGAAATAAACTAAAAAAAATGAAAGAACAAATGAAAGAAATTAACCAACTATGATTTTGAATATATTAAGATAAAGTACTATCGTTGTGGGTATCAATTATTTTTTAAAATTTGATTTACCGATCGAAGTGAACCGAGTATTAGTATTTCTTTTAATAAAGTCAAATGTTTTATTTATATAACTTTATAATTATACTGAATAATTTTTTAATTTAAAATAGTGTATACACTTGTATATACGTGTATAATAGTGTATAAAAGGTGCTTATATACATTTTTATATTGTTATACATAATTAAACAACACATACACAAATCAATTGTAGAAATTTTTAAATAATGTATCTACACTTTATAAGTGTGTATAAACATTGATTATATACAATTATAATATAAGACACCTTTCAATCATCACGAGTGTTGACACCCAATTTTGATCATATGCAATTCGTATTAATTATCGAGCTTCTTCAATTTGAAATCATTATTTTTGAAAATTTCAAAAATATTTTAAATCTATTCTCTAAATAGTTTTTTTAGTTTTCAGAAATAATTATATAACTCTAAATTAGTTAACTTCATATTTATGTATAATTATTAATTAACTTATGTCTTAAGAAATATTTTGTCTTATTTAAATTAAGAACCTCAAATAATTAATCGATAATTAATCAATCGAAATTAGCTAATTGATTCAATTTTGCAATATTCAAATTCAATTAACTAAATTCCTAATACAATAGGCCACTCAATTCAGCTAAGATTACAATCGTTTGGCCATATTTTGAATTCTTTATTCTAAGACCCTCATATCCTCATACATCTAGAGTCAATTAGGTCATTTTATAAATTATTATATTTGATTTAATATATTGTGTAGACACGTAATTTTTTATCAAACTTAAGTTTAACATTATTTTTAGTGCTTAAATATTTTTTTAAATTTAAATTAAATATTTTAATTTTAATTTTATTTTATTAAGTTAATTTTAAATGATTTGAAAAGAACAAAAAATTGAATCGCAATTTTAGGTAAGTTTTATTTTTCAATTGTTTTAAAAAGAAATAAAAAATATTTTTTATATGTTTTCTTTTAATTTAGGTTTAATAAATAAGCTAGTAATTTTAATATATTCTTTAATTACATATTTAGATTAACTACTTATCTTTTCTTATATTTTCATTAGTTCAAAATAATTAGCTAATATTTTTATATAAATTTAATAAATAAATAATAACCAACTGAAACTGCCTCTTACCCCACTACTACACCTACACCATCCTATTTTTCTCCCACTATCCTAATTGTTTACCCACTATATACCCACACACACAATCATTACCTGTATTAACACAACAATAAATCAAAACTAAAAGAATCAGCAACACCCAAACCCAGCAAACGACAAAAAGGAAAAAAAGGAAAAAAAAACTCCTATACTACCATCAAACAAAAAAAAAAGGACGATCAACAAAAACAAAAAAAAAACCATATACACGCAAAGCAACAACAACACACAGAAACAAAATACAATACACACTAACACCAAAAACAATATTTATGAGCGTTTTAATTGAGTTTCGATCAAGATTTTGCGGTTCTTATTTTTTCATTTGTGGTACTTAACTTTACCTTATCTCTTAATTTATTTATGGAAATTTATGTAATTATGTGATAAGTTTTTCTATAGTTTTGTTTTATTTATAATTTGATTGAAATGAAGATTGGGTTAGAGTGTTATATCACTATTTAATGAATGAAGTCCTATATAATGTAAGCATTTTATTTTTTATTCTTTTTGTTGTTGTTATTGTTGTTGTTGTTGTTGTTATTGTTGTTGTTATTGTTGTTTAATTTTGTCATGCCCAAGCCACTATTTTTATGACATTGTTGTAGCTTAATGTTCATGTCAATTGTCTATTTTAATTTACATATTTTTAAATAAATGTGATCACCTAATAAACAAACAAATGGGTTATGTTGTTAAAACTTGAATTTACTTCATTTTGGATTAGTTGAATCCTTTGATATGAGGATTAATTTATTTAAAAATAGTATCAATTAATATAATAATGGGATGAAATATTAGTTCTCTAAAATTCACCAAAATAAGAGTAAGTACTTTCAATACTAGGTGAGTTTAGGCACGTTAGAAATATGTGTTTCAATTAAGAGACTTTTATTCATTGCCTAAGCAATATCAGGTTGTTGGCTTTTGTATTCACCTGCCACATTCATGAGTTATTTTAGGGGCTTTAGTATTTAGCTAAATGAGAATTACATTGTTGATAACATGCACCTAATTAACTGACATAACATTTCAATTTTTAGTTAAATGAGCTAGATAAAAAAGATTTGGACTTACAAGTATTTATCTGTCAACTTTTATGAAAAAAAGAGCCTTTTGATTGTTTCATTTGTGTCATTTCTTAATCACGTTAATTTTTTTTTATAATTGATGGCCCTTTTTCTATTATGTTCTAAGAAATTGCTTGAGTTTTGTTTTCTAGAACTCTCGTCTTTTTTTTTTTTGCAACAAAATGGATGAGGCTATAAATTCTAGTTATATGCAGTTTCTCCTTTAATTCATGCATGTTTGATTCGAATGTGAGAATTCCTACATAGATTACATTATATTTTAATAGTTAATAGTTTTCATGAATGATAGAGTTTATGTTGCCACGTAGAGTAGTTTGTGATGATATACTCCACAAACTTTCACTTGTGTTAAATTTGTAATGATAAAATTTATATTGTAAATTAGAAAGTACTAATATATATATATGGAATTGTAATACAAGGGACAATCCATCAAATAAGTCTTATAAAAGTGGGCAATAGAACATATGAAAGACAAATTGCATGTGTTACATATTTTACTTTTGACTCTAGTATAAACATCTTAATCTAAATTTTTGTTTTATTTCTCTCTCTTTTGTACAGGTATAAAGGGTGAGAAATGAATCAAGATTGATTACAAGCTATATGTGTTACCACATTATTGATATTTTAGAAAGAATTTTTACTTATATGTCTTTGTATAGGAGTAATATTTAGTATATTTTTGGTTTGATTTTTCTTGTCATTGGACATATTTTACGTTTATTTTAGGAGTTTGTAATGAGATATTATTAATTTAGTATAATTTTAGTTATTTTTATTGTGTGATCATGGGTGAATTTTATGAAAAATATTTTTGTCATGAATTAAATTAATTCATCACAAGTTGATTACATTCAGTGACACAAATGTATTGTCCTAGTACCCCCTTTTATTGAATATGAATTTTTTTATTTATTTTGTGACAATTGTAATTGTCACTACTTATGATAATATTTAGTGACAATATATGTCGTCGATAAAAGCAACACTTTTAGTGACAAAATGATATATTTAATCACAAAAATTATTAAACCCTTTTTTTATTATATTAAATTTATCCCTAATTTATACATTTAAGGACAAAATATTTTTTTGTATATAAAAAAATAGTCATTAGTAACGATATTGTATTTTTTCAACTACGAAATACATAAAGCTTTAGAGACATTTGATGTCGTCACTGATTGAACAAAATAATTAGTGATGATTTAATTTTGTCACTAATAATAATATTTTTAGTGACAAAATATACTATTAAGTACAAAAAAGTTACACTTTTTATGACAAATAAATTCGTCACAAATGTTTGTGCATTTGGTGACAAATTTAATTTTGTAGTTAATATAATATTTTAGTGAAGAAGCACTAAATCGTCTTTGTATACTTTTAGTGACAACTGATTGACGAAATTTTTTTTGTCACACAAGAGTTTTAGTGACGAAATATGATTTATAGATGACGAAATTATTCGTCCCTGATAATCAAAATTGTTGTAGTGGTATCAAAGCCACAACCATCCCAAAACAAAAGAAATGTAAACTAAATTCATTCACTATCCGACTTGTAGTCAATATGTCAATGAGGTGGTGCTTAAATGGTTTATAATTTGATAATTAAGCAAATTACAAGAAACAAATAAATGAAACAGTAAGAACAAAACCCACTTATAATAAAGTTTTGAACAGATTCATATGCATTTCAGCTTATTCCAAGCGTAAGAAAACTTTTGGCATCATTTCTTTCCCTCTTGCCATCAATTCTCATACACAAGACGCGCTCCCAAACCTTTGACCACTAAATCCGGATGAATGATACCAGAACCGACACGAACCTCAAGCTGAATGAAGTCATTAAAAATGTAATTATCATCATACTTCGGATACTGATGAAATGGTACATGGGCTAGGTAAGTATTATCTAAACCAACAGGTTTTTCACTTCCTATTGAGCCTACACACTTGCCAAATCTGCGTGAAAAACCGTCATGGGTTGTGAACCTAAACCCCATCACAAGTCCTTGGAATTTTTTTAGGCATTTGACATTAAGAATACTGAAGGCATCATCCGACTTATATTTCCGGTAAATGAAAGGAGTCATCATGTCAAAAACAACACAAATAGTTATCCCCCTGAATGTGGGTGTGTACCAATTTTTGGGCAGGGCCACTGAGATTGATTCAGTCCCCGAGTTCTTGTATGTAAACCACTCGGGAATCTCCACACCAGGGAAGCACATACTAAATGAGCCATTCATGTATAGTCCCTGCATGCCCCGTGAAAAGAATGTTATTTGCCAAGATTCATATGTGATATAGTAGAGTTGTGGCTTGGAAGTGTACTTACCTTGTGCATCTGCTTCAACAATGAATCAACCATGGAGGCGTGTTGTTTATTTTTTACAAGTTGATGACATTTTGTGAATGAAAGTCTATGCAACATTGGATATTTGGTTAGCTGATCAATGCTCATCAAAGACGTGCATTCATCAGCATATATCTTTTTTATACTTGGAGGAAGTTCCGGTAAACTCTCAAGTCTCCTACAACCAGCCAATGCAAGGGCTATAAGTCGAGTGAGACGACTTATGCTTGAAGCCGCAATATTGGAAAAATTGTTACCATCGAGAATCAATCCCTCCAAAGACGGTAAGAACCCAAGATTACTTAAAATGCCTCCATCTGAAATTTTGCAGTCACTAAGATCCAACATGATCAATGAACAAAGACCCGACAAATTCTGAAAATTTACACCCATAGACTTCTGGCCACAACTTGAGCTATTTACTTGTGAACTCAAAGCAGTACATCCACGGAGATATAAATGTTTAAGGTTTTTAAGAAGAGACATAGAGGATGGAATTGTTTGGATGGCTGTGTGAGTGCAGTGGAGCTCCTCTAAACCAACTAAAAGTCCCAAATCATCTGGTAAATTTTTAAGTTTTGAGCATCCAGACACATCGAGTGTCTTCAGACATTTCAACCTAAAAATACTGCTAGGTAGACTCTCAAGATGCTTGCAGTAACTTAGATTTATTACACCAACTCCTGAAAAGTTCTCAACTGATGCAGGTAGTTCACTCAAAGCAGTCGCGCCCAAATACAGTTCTGCTAAACGATTCATTTTCTCTTCTATTTCCGGGAATGTTCTTAACTTTGAGCAGCCTGAAAGAACGAGAATTTCAAGCTTTTCCAAGCGAATTCTCTTTGGTATGGTCTTCAAATTTCTGCAGTTCTTCAGATTCAGCAAGACTAGCTTTCCAAGATCTCCAATAGAAAAATTGATTTCTACCAAACTTGTGCATTCTTCAAGAACCAGCCTTTCAAGATTAGGCATAACTGAAAAATCTGGCATCCTTATTAGCTTCTGTGAATGGCTAAGGTTCATGTACTTCAGTTTTCCTAGATCCTTTGAGGTTTTCCAAAGTTGTATGATGCGGCTTTTTTTCAATTTCAAACTAACAAGTTGGTCTCCCTTAAAGCTATTTGGCAGACTTTTTGAAGGATATCCATGCCAATCAAGCCACCTCAACTCATCAGGAAGAAATTCAGGTCCCTGGCAAACATATGCATTCCGGAATTTGAGAAACCTCATACTGGTCATCTGCATGAAGGCCTTGCCACCAAAATTAACTTCTTCTTCATTAGTCAGGTGCAGCGATATGCCTTCAATCTTGTCAGTTGCCTAATAAGCAAGAGTATTAAAGGTGGATGAGAAAAGGAAAATTATGTAAGAAGTCATAAGTTTACAACTACGTACCAAATTTCGTTCGAGTACAGGACAAATATCTTCGCGCTTCCACAACCTACTACATATTCTTGGATTGTAAGAAGCTTCTTGACGAACAATGTGCCAGCCCATTTCTTGTATCAATTGGTGTATTATAATGCGACCTTTTAATATAGTGATCAAACATTTCTCCATGAGAACTTTTATCCCAATGACAGGGCTAAAATGAAAACTCTCAAGTATTCTGGTCACTGAATCTTTGTTCTTCCCTGAAAAGAAGCATGCAATGTCTAAGAATATCTTTTGCTCAATATTGTTGAGACGAGTGAAACTTGGTTCGAGTTTCTTCAAAATTTCATTTTGTGGGATTTGTTTCAAACGCTCCACTTCACTTATCCATTCATCCAAACCTCTTCCATACAAGAAACTGCCAAGGACTTTCAGGGCTAGGGGGAGTCCACCAGTATGCTCTATCACTTGAGCTGATAGATCCTCAAATTCTTTGGTAGGGTGGTTTTTCTTGAAAGCATGTTGTTTAAAAAGTTGTAAGCTTTCATATTTGTCTAAAGTTCCCATTCTGTATATCTTTTCAGTCTCATACTTAACAAGCAAGTGTTTGTCTTTGGTTGTTATGATGATTCTACTTCCGTCACCAAACCATTCACGCTCCCCGGCTAATGCGTCTAACTGTTCTATGTGATCAACATCATCCAGAACAAGAAGAACCTTTTTATACCGTAGTCTTTGTTTTTGCATATTAGCTCCTTCAAACGAATCATTGATCCTTAGTTTTTTTACACCAAGGATCTCAGAAAGAAGTATCTCTTGCAAGCGCTCTAGTCCCTGTTTTGCTGAACGGTCTCTGACTTCGTGAAGAAAACATGCACCTTGAAATTGACTCCGAATGTTATCACAAATAACTCTTGCAAGAGTTGTCTTCCCCACTCCACTCATTCCCAGTATCCCAAGGAAGCGAACTCCACCAGACCCAACGTCAAGCATTTTATATACTTGGTGCATGTGTAACTCCATTCCAACAAGATTTCTAGCATTGCTTGCATGTCTCTGAGTACCCAATCTAGCCATTATATCTTCTGCAATTTTCTCTATGACTCTAGCTTCATGTCTGCATACCTCAAAGGATAAGTAATATCTTAGACAACTGTGTGTATTTGCCTAAATTTCAATTAAGCAGGAGTTCTCTCTTTCCCAATTACATTAAATGAAGTGTTATTATAACCATGCCCAACAAATTGTACAGAAGAAATGGTTTAAACAAGATCTGTGAAGCCCATCTTTTCCATGAAATTCCGAATTCCTAGAAGCTGTTGAGACACTGATGGTGATTCTATTTATTTCCATTAATTATTTTGGAATGCAATGAGGCATACAAAAAGAAATCAGGGCTCAATGAATATTGTAGTAACAAGTATGGGTAAAGAGAATCCAGCAGAATTTAGCAAGGAGAAGTGAGACATCGTTATAGAGAAGCATTAACCAACTTTGGATACAAGTTAACAAACATACTGGATGAACAAGTTTAGAATGTCAAACTTGAGGATTAGACAGAAGAAGACGGAGTACATCAGTTGGTTATACTCTTTTTTGTCATCTTTACTTATTTTGAGAGTTAACCTAGAAAGCAACTAAGACAACTTCATAGCATGAACCCTAACGGACTATTTCCTATTGTATATATATCCCTCATCCCACAGAGGTAATTCGCCAACTCCCCAAATGTGTCTTCCACCGTAGCCACATTTGCTACATTAAATGTGAATCAGTTGTAAACAGAGAGACGCCCTCTATAAATTCCCTTATCTGGTTTGGCAGGTTTGGTATATCCATTCCCTTGTAACTTGATTATGATATAAATACAAGTTGTCTATTGGATTTTATTAAAAAAATATGAACAGAAATCTACGATAATTCTATTTAATGAAAAAGGGAAAAGGCCCTCCGATGCAAAATAGAAATGAACTAAGTATTCAGATTAACATATGACGATGAGTTTGGTTTCATGATAGATACTTACCCATTGGCAGTATTTGGCAAATCCCAGCCAGAAATATTAGCTGCTTCCTCCAGTGCTGCCCTCCATTTTTGCACCTTGTCCTCCTGGAACCGGGCTTCATGTTTGCTAAATGCTTCTCCAAATATCGTTTTTTGTTTCCTCACTGTTGATGGATCTACATCATAGAACACCGGAACAACAATTTGTCCTTTCACATTCTTGCACTCCATGATCTTTGTCAATTCATCTAAACACCATGTTGAATTAGCATAGTTTTTAGAGAATATGATCAAAGCTATCCTTGACTCTTCAATTGAACTCTCGAGTTCCGGTGAAATGAACTTTCCTTTCTCTAGTTTCTCGTCATCTTTGAAGGTATTAATGCACTTTTGTTGCAGAGCAAGATACAGATGGTCAACAAATGTTTTGCGTATATCTTCACCTTTAAAACTTAAGAAAACATCGTAACTCCATCGAATAATTTCTGGGGATGGAAGCAATGAACTTTCCTGATTCATCTTTGCAATAATTATTTTAATTGGCCTGCAAGACTATAAAGCAAGAAACTGGAAGAGGAAATTAGTAATTATATTTACAACAACTTGCATTTATATATGCAGAGTGATGACTTAAGTTAAACTGTTAAGCAACTTCGCTTCAATATATATATATATATTAAGCTTCCATTGATATGGATTTGCAATAGTATTTTATTTGATAGATACCTACTCTCTAATATGATTGTCCCTTTTTAAACAATTTTTTTGAATTTACAATATTAAATAGGGATGTACAATAGGTACTGGTTTGTTTTTTAATTAAAAAATAACTAAACCAATTATATCGATAAAAATTAAATCAAACCAACATAAAGTTGTTTTTTTCGGTTTTTATTTTAGTCGGTTCTTTAGGTTTTTCAAATTTTTTAAATAAAAAAAGTCAGAAAAAATTCACATGTGAGAAGGATCAAATATTACCTCTACATTGAAATTATTAAGAAAAAGTTAAGGGGTATATTGGACCCTTTTAGCTAAATTATAATTATTTTTTTCACTACTACCGTTAAACCAAAAAGATATATTTGGGTCATTTATATAAGACATAGGTAGACACTTAAATTTGAATAAAGTTGAACAAGTAAACACATAAGTCATACATGACGTATTACACGTAGGATACCATATAGAACACAAATTACCATGTAGGATACAACGTAAGACATGTAAATGAAAGTCCTAATGACCTTGATTTGCCTGCTAAGGTTGAACAGTAACGAAATTGTAACTTGGAAATGGTCAAAATGGTTCCATTAGTGGAAAGATATAACCCGGCCCCCTTATTTTTCTAAAAATATTTTCCTTACAGACCCATAGTCAATTAAAATTTGGAAAGGCACATTAAAAAAGTTTTTTTTTTTTTTTTTTTTAAGGCTCTTCTGTGTATTGATTGGGCAAAGATTAAGATATTGTGTAGAGCGGAACAACAATTGATTAGGACTTTATAATTTATGGCACATCCCATTCAGTCCAAGATTTGACCTGAATCTAAATGGGGAGGAAAGTGCCCAATAATTCCAAATTAATTGTTAGTAACAATTTATTACAGTTCATCTTGTTTGTGTAAACTTTTAACTACTTAATAGACTTCCCATAATGATCATCATATCATATATTACTACTCTTTTACTCATGTTTTAGAGAGAGAACGTCCCACTTCTCACTAAAAATCAAGATGTTTCCAGTATCAAATTTACCCCCAATTCCCCCAGACCCACCAGATAGTATGGATATGAGCATTGACCCTATACCCCATTCCTTGGTTCATTAATGGCCATTTCCTCTCTATAAAAAAATGGCATACGGACTTGTGGCTTCGGAAGCCAAAGAAACCACCTCTGTGATATGGATCCGGCTACCCGAACTCCCAACGGAATACTATGACCACAAAATTTTGCCAAAAATTGGGAGTAAACTAGGGAGCCTGGTTAAAACTAATGTGTGTACATCATCAACTCTTAGGGGTAGGTATGCTCGTATTTGCATTGAAGTCCCAATGAGAACTCTTGTTAAAAAGCACATCTTTATTGGACATTTAAAGTAGGAAAATCATGTACGAAGGGGAGAACATTTTGTGTAAATCGTGTGGAAAATTGGGACACACACAAGCTGCCTGCCCGTTTTATCCACTACCACCTAAGCCACCAGATAATTCCACTGGCGACATGACCCAACAGAAATCAATAGGCAACGTCACCGCAGACAGAGAATGGAGAACGGTAAGCTTCAAAAAAGGTAAAAAAACCCTCCCCCCAAACACCAGCAGGGGAGACTGAATCACTTAATTCTGAGTCTAAATCAAAAGCCAAAGAAGGTATAAATGTAAAACTCTGGTGGAATAGTGATCTTATAGGATGAAACCATCTTGGAACTTGATAAGATAGCGACAACTGGGCAGGAAATTCATGCTATGATCAAGGTAAGTCCTTCAAATGAACCTCGGCTTTTTAGTTATACTAGTCCTTAGGAACGTGCGTTGCACGTTTATCCCAAAAATATTGAAATTAATAATATTAACTTTATTATTTACATTCATAATAGTGGAATGTTTTTTGTTTTTTTTAAATCATAACAGTGGAATGTTGCATTTGCCATCAAGCAAGAAATGTGAAGCTAATTAAGATAATATAGCATGTAATGGTATGAATATGTCAATATAACTTATCCTCAATAATCTCTCATTACACACTTTACACGTAGATCCCATATCCAATTTGAAAATATAAAAAGAAAATTTTAAGAATAAATATAAAAATCACTTACAAAGGAACCAATTTACATGAAATAAAACCAAAATTTAAATTTGTGGAACATTTCCAAACACCTTCGAGAGACATGTATCCTTCATCAACATCAATTAGAATAAAAAATAAAATATAAAAATTATTAGTGTATAAAAGAGTATATATTTTATTTCATTCTAATCCATACATAGTGATAAAATCTATTGTCTTCCAAATATTCATTCTCTATCTATCAATATTATCACATATGATGACGTCTTCGATCCAAATGCAACACTAATGCTACTATCCCTAACAATTCTAAAAAGACAATGATATTCTTTTTCTTATGTACCTAGAAGATCTAGTGTAAAGGAACCAAAAAAGTAATATTGGAGCAAAATGAGGTAAACAACATAATAGTTAGATATGGTCATAATTATTATCTAGAATAATTTTCTTCCAAAGATGATAGCTAGGTCAGATCTGAAACATGAAAAATTAAGCTCTAACAAAATAAGGTGAAAAATTAAATGGAAGAAAGAAAAGCAACGACTATATATATATATATATATTATGTGAAATGGCAAAGAAAGGAAGAAGAGAGTTCAATTCACTTACCCAAAGTATGTAAATTAGTGAAAGCACCTATTTGAATTCCTCCGGCAATTACCTAAAAACTAAACATTAAAAGAGAATTATCTCAAAATATGAAAATATATTAGATAATGTTAAAAACTAACTTTGTGAATAGATGGATTTCAACCTCCG